CCCCCGCCCCCAGGGTCCCGGCGGCTGGATGAGATCACGTCTGTGAAGTGCCGTGCTTTGTTGAGGGGCGAGGTGGACACGTGGGGGTGGAGCAGACACAGCTCTTCAAGGCTCCCCACATGGCGGCCAGGACCCGGGGTGCAGCGTGGGACATGAGTCTGGAGGAAGGGCTGAGGGCAAGCATATGGACGCGGGCTCTCCCCAGTCAGCATCTGGGTGGGGGTCCCCAAAGCCAGGCCCAGCAAGAGGCCAGCGATCAGAGGGCCCAGAGCCCCAGAGTGGCCCAGCCCAGGCCTCAGACCCAGGCCCAGGAGGCGGGGAGGCTGGGCAGCACTCCTCATGCCCAAGGTTCTCTCTCCCAGGAGCATATGCCCCAGCCAACGGCTGGGGGCTGCCTAGAGCCTCAGTGGGGTCCTAGCACCATGGGCCACCTCCAGAGACACTGCCAGGACAAGGGGCTGCCCTGACATGAGTGGTGTCCGCGGATCGTGGCCCCTCACAGGCACCGACCGACTTCAGGGCTCTGCCCCCATGCCCTCTGGTCACCTCGGCCGGCACACCGCACCCCATCTGCCCTGGCAACCGATGGGACCATCGCCACCTCAGCCTCCCGGGCCCCTTCCCCGAAGTCCGCCCCATTTTGCTCAGGTGGCAGAGACACAGCACAACCGCAGGAGGGAGACATGGGCGACCACGGTGCACACTTTCCCAGGGGACAGGACCCTCTGCCTCAGGCTCATGAAAGCTGAGCTCTGCCGCCCCCTCGGGCCACCGGCAGGCACTGCGGCTCCCTCCTGTCACTCAGGCCAACATATGGGATAGTCATCGCAGGAGGAAGCAGCCCCCGCAGCCCCCACAGTGGCTCTGGGACAGGCCGGTGGGGGGAGCCCCGCCCCTGGGCAGGCCCAACGCACCCCCACCCCCCCACCCCCCCACCCCGCACTCCATTTACAATCATCATCGATTTCTCAAAATACCAAATATAAAAAAGCAGCCGACAGGATGTGGCTGCCGACAGCCAGAGCCCCTGGGAGGGGGGAGACAGGCAGGGAGCCGTGCTGCACGGCCCCCCCTCGCAGAGTGCGCCCGCTGCTCCGGCCAGGAAACCAATTTATTTTGTTTTGTCTCTGTTCTCTGAACGCACAGAGACCGGATCGGGCGGGCGGCCAAGGCTCCTGCAGCCGCTGCCAGGAGCGCGAGGATGGGGGTGGAAGCCGAGCAGGGGGGCCGCGCCTCCCCAGGCCCTGGGCGCCCCTGACAGGCAGCAGGAAGCGCTCCTGCGGCCAAGGACCCTGTCCCTGTGGGCATGCACCAAGATTATCCTTCCCCAGCCCCCAGGCCACACCTGGGGGACACCTGCAGGGGCCACAGCCTTGCCCGATGGCCTGGATACGCCAGGGCGGGGACAGGTGGGCCAGCACACTGGCCACCTCAGGGTCGGAGCTCCTCAGCTCGGAGCCCTCCCCAACGGCACTGGGCCGCTGACATCAGGACCTCTGGAGCCAAACTGAGCGCCCCTCGCCCGACACCACACTCTTCCTACTTGTCCCTTCAGACCGGGAACTTGAGGGGCGACTGATTCAGAGGCCAGGCCAGCCGGCACCTCGAAGACACCGGGAAGGGATGGGGCAGAGCAGGCAGGCCACCTGCAGGAAGCTGAGAGCACTGCTGTCCTCGGTGCCCAGGACAGAGTGTTAGCACAGCCCCCACGGAGCACATGGGGACCCCAGTATCAGTCAGCTCCCACAGATACACCGGGGGTCCACAGCCCACGGCCGCTGTGCCACACCCAACCCCCTCCCTCCACGGGCGCTGACACACTCCTGCAGTCACGAGTCCCCGACCCCAAAATTGCTCTTCCAGACCGAGAGCGGGGCTGAGGGCCAGGACGCCCACTCAGGCCTCACTGCGGCCCGACTCTCCTCTGCCCTGGCAGAGCCCAGCCCTACCTCCTCGTCAGAACTGTCCTGCATGTACTCATCGTCGCTCTGTGCTCTTGCCGCCTCCGTCTTTGGGGAAGGGGTCCCAGCAGTCTGCAAGATAAGGGGAGAGTGGTTAAGTCGAGGCACCAATGCTCTTTGACCTCGGGTAGATCCCAGGTCCAGGGGCCCCGGCCCCCTCCTGCTCACTCTTGAGGCCAAGGTCCCTGCCACCCCCAATCTCTGAGAAGCTCCTGGGTCCTCAGGACAGGACCAGGGATACCCCAGGTCTAAGGGCCACTCGGGGGGAGGGGGGGGCTCCACCAGGCAGCATCCTCTGTCAAGGGCCACACCCATCACGATGTCCCAGCTCCAGGGGAGGACTCCAGGGAGGGGCTGACACCTAGTGCCAGACTGGAAAAGGAGCAGTCAGCAAGAAGCCACCAGCCGAGAGCCCAGAGCCAGCCTGGGGTCGGGGGACAAGGCGAGGGGCTGGGGGGTCCGCCTGGGGAGGGTGTGGCACTCACCATCAGCCACCATCACAGGGGCCACGGCCGGCCCCCTCCTCAGGCAAGACCCTGGTTCCAAGGCCTCGCTGTCACCTGCTGCAGCTGAGACCCCCCCCCCAGCCCTGCTGACCAAGGGCCTCGAAAGGCGCCCCGAACCCGCAGAATGCTGGGACGTGGCCCCAGGCTGACCGACCTACCAGGTCAGTGAGTGGGTGTCACTGAGAATTCACACCCTGACCTGGAAAACAGACCCCTCACAGGGTGGGGGGCAGGGCACACCAGGACCAGAGTGATGGGGAAAACAGCCCACCTCCCACCCCTGGGGGCAGCAAAGTGCAGAGCTCAGCGCCCACCCACCCAGAGCACGCCTCCTGCCCCTGCCCCTGCCCCCCTGCCCGGGCAGGAGCCAAAGGCCCCCCGAGGCGGCTCTTCCTCCCGCCTGGTTTTCCCCTCAGTGTAAGGAGGGTGGGAGACTAAGTTTTTTTCCAGGCCAGGAACAAGGCAGGATTCGGTTTCCATGTCTCCCCCCACCCCCGCTGCCGGTGCTGTGGGAGGCCTGCCCGCTCAAAGTGGGTCAGCTCGGCCAGACGGGTGTGGGGCGCAGGTGGGGGGCATGGAGGGCGAACCCCAAGCTCCTGCCTCTGCCCAGGGCCCAAAGCTCTCTCCCATCCTTGCCCATGGCAGCAACCAGCGGGCACACCTGCCCCTGGCCCTGGGCCGGGGTGTCTATACTGCTGCCCACAGTGCCAGCCTACCTGGTGCTTCCCCAGGCACTGAGCCGAGTCCCACACCACCTGTGCCACACGTCCCCTTGCCCTGCAGTGCCTCAGAGTGCAGGTCCTTGGCAAGGGCAGGGGCGCACACACGAGCCCCAGCCCCTAGGGCACGGCTTCCTCCTCCCGCTGGGAAGCTGAAGGGCAGGTGGCGGCCGCCAGGGGGCAGCAGCGTGGCGCAGCCCAGGGCCCCAGACCGGCTCTGGGAGCTGGCAGACCTAGTGGACCTCACTCCTTCCAAGTTTAGAGACACTTCGTTGTAGTTGGGCAGTAGGGAGTCAAAAAAAAACTTAAGAGTTAAAAAAGACGACCAGTAAAACATAAAATAGAAAAGGGTGCCAGCAGAGGGGTGAAGGTCCACGTACCCTGATCCATCTCCTGTGTCTCACGCCACCCAGCCCCAACTGGCTGCATCTGGGACCCCAGGTCCTCAGACACAGACACGAGGTGGCAGGGCAAGGCTGCCAATCCACACAGCCCAAGATGGCCTCAACCTTCCCTGGCACTGTCCCCTGAACCTGCCCATGTGGGTTGTTCAGGGGCAACAGGAAGGCCCCAAGGGAAGTGGGGTTCAGGAGGCAAGTTCCCTGGGCCAGGGCACCTCGCACAACTGGACCCCACATCCAGGTGGCTTCCGAGGGGCTGTGGGCGAAGCCAGAGGGCCGGCAGGGGCACAGGGTAGCTCCTGCTAGAGGGCTTGCAGTGATCTCCATGCACAGATGGCATGACCAGGGACCTTCAGTTATCTGGAAAATGCAACACATTATTGCTAGGTATTTTTTGAATGTGGCAAACAAACTCAACTAATGAAAATGGCAACGTTTCCACAAGAGAGCAAGAAAACAAAATAGAAAAAGGCCCCATGTAAATAGAAAAGACTAAATCAAATACGACAAGTAGAGAAAATGGATCTGAACACACACAAAAGGGAAAAGATGGCTCTAGGCACAAGCCCACTGAGCACGTGTAACCACGGGAAGGTGCCACACACCGGCCAGCATCTCTCCTGGGGGGTGGAAAGCAGGGGGGCTGGGCAGTGAGAGCCGGGGGCCTGGGGGCGCTAAGGAAGCTCTCTTCCAGTGTCCCATTTTCCACTCACGCCAGCAGCCAGGCCACTGCCTCCGGGTGTAGACAGCAGGGGTGTGGGCAGTCAGGGGAGAGCCAGGAAGCAAGGGAGGCGAGAAGGTAGCCAAGGGCTCGGATGGGGGAGCAACAGGTGGCAAGCAGGGGGCGCTTCTAGGCTCCTCCGGGGACTCAGGGGCAGTCAGCGGGCAAAGGGCTCTCCCAGTGGGCAGGCTTGCAGACACGCTGACAAGAGTGTGACGGGCAGGGGCTGCAGAGTGGCCAGGAGACCGGCGACTGGCCTGGTAGACAGGTCAACAAGGTGGCAGAGGACAGGGACACAGAGCTGTGAGCCCTGAGAAGGCCAGAGCTGGAGACAGGGGTGGTGCTCAGAGTGGAGCAGACGGAGATGAGCTCACTGCAGCAGAGGGGTGAGGGGGCCCCACCCCGGCCACACGTGCAGCAAAACCAGAAACCTAACACTGCCCGGGAGGAGCCGCCAGGAGACACACAGCTGCTCCAACCAAGGGAAAAGGAGGGACTTCTGGGGTGGACAGGAAGCTGAGTTTTAGGGAAAATGGGAGTTAAAAGGGACCGAGAGACAAGCACTGCTTCCCCTCAGCCCTGAGCTCATCCACACCGCATCTAACACGAGACCCATCGGCACCGGAAGGAAACTGTCCGGCCAGGCTCTATGACACAACAGGATGGACTCTGCATGTCAGGCGCTCACGGGTTCAGCTGAAACAGGTTTCACAGAAACGCAGGAAAAGTTGCCTCATTCCCACTGAAGGGGAAGAATCACACAGCAACAAGGGCCTGCTTTTCCACTTATCAGGGTGGGAGAAACAAAGGTCACCCACGTTCGGTGTCGACGGGGGTGGGAAGCAGGCCCAAGGGTGGCCGTGGGGGCGCAAAGGGGCGCACCTGCCCTGAAGGATACCTGGGAATTCCTTCCACAACTAAAAGCTCGCTGACCCTTTGGCCTGGAAATTCTCAGAACTCACCCCAAGAATTGCTTGCATGTGTGACAGCTAGGTAGATGACGCTGTGACCAGCACCACTTGTAATGGCGAAAGATCGTGACCACCCACCTACAGGTGGGCAGCCCTCAGAGGCACAGACAGAAGGCAGCGTGAACGGACAGCCACACTGGAGCCTGGGAGGGTCTCTCCAGGAGCTCCCAAACGCTGCCCAGTACTATCTGATGCCACGCGGTCATGTCATGCACACATTCCTTAGAAAGAATGTGGTGGACACATACGAATCAACACCAAGGACCTGAGAGAGAAGTGACGGGAGGAGCACGCCCACAGTGGGCAGACATGGCTGCCAAGGGCAGCGGGCACCTGGGGGAGGCAATGCTCCAGCAGCTGTGCCCCATCCCCGCGTCTCCCAGTGGACAAGGAGGGTGAGGCCTGGCCAGGGGCCGCTGGCAACATGCCAGCAGCCAACCTGCTGTGAGGCTCTGACCCATGGAATGCTTTCAGTAGGATGTCCCTAGTCTGTCTGGGCCACTGTATCAAACACAACTGGACTTCAGAGACTTACGGGATAGGGGTTTCTGAAAGTGATCTACCAGGTACAGTACCACCAGGCGGTTAAGCAAACCAACCAGCTACCTTCTGTGGGGACCTAGCCCCTTGTCACAGGACACATGCTACATGCAGACAGCCCTGAGGAACTGCACCCAGTTTGGCCCTCTCCCTGCTGGCTCGCACCCGCAGCCTGACTGCGCAGCAAGGTGCTCTTCAGATGCATGGAGCTGAGCGGTCCAGGGGGATCTGCCCACCCACCCTTGGTAGGAAGGTCCTGGGGGATGCATCTGGCCAGCGGAATGTTGAGAAAGCAGCAACGGGCTACATGACAGTTAGGAGCGCACAGCACAAATCACCAGAGACCTGCGGACATGGACAACCTGCTGAGAGCTGGGCTCTGGAAGGGCAGCCGCCAAAGACAAGGCCCCGGCTGTGTGCTCTCATCACAGAAGTCAGCTCGCTCTCCGGTGGTCCCAGGCCAACGTCACTTTCGCTTGCAAAGTAGCTCACATAAGATCACTGATTATCTGCAGGACCACATCGTGGCCGTGGCCATGTGCCAGAGCCCCAGGGGCTTTCTGTCAGCGCTGGGCACGTGGCAGAGACAAAAGAGTGGGCGGGTCGCCGCTGGCACAGGCTCGTGGAGCTTGTGGTGGTGGGAAGCTGCTCAACGGAAGGGGGAGCATGTGCTGAGGACCCATCCCCAGTGGCAAGAATGTCTGGGCAGAAGTCCCATGGTGTGACATGTGAAAACCCACCACCTTGGCAGATAAAGGTGGGCTGGAAGAAACCCCAGAAGGCCCGGTCTCCCTCAGCATGGCAGGAAGGTTCCACGCCAGCAAGCAGCCCTTGGCTGGCTCCAGGACCACAGAGGAGCAGGCCTGACCAGGGGCCACCAACACTGTGCATGACTGGGCTTTCCTGGGGCCACTCCTGGATGCCTCGTGCAGCCACACTCATGGCACCCAGAATATGCAGGAAGCATATTCAGCCACTGGCCTGCTGGCTCAGTTCCCACCGGCGGGGCTTTGGGATGGACACGGGCTCAGACCATCCAAAGACGGGAAGGGAATGAGCAGCTCAGCCAGGTGGATGGTGCAGACAGCCTTTGAGGAACAGGTGAAAAGGGAAGATGGGGGATCTCTACCTCTCCAATTCTGCCTTGGCCTGGAGACACTGGAACCCAGTCCTGAAGACCACGTTTTGGAACAGAAAGTCCTCTCACAGGGGCTGACTCTACTCTCAGCTAGAGCATAAGCAGCCAGAGACAAGACTGACAGGGCTCTTTCAGGTCAGCCCTCGGGGCCTGGGCATGAACAGGAGGGGACACCTCACTGGCGGGAGCCACTGCAGGTGAAACCTGCTCCAGCACAGCGAGGAAGGGAAGGGCCAGGCCCCAAGCGGGGCACGGTTCAGCTGCAGCAAGGAACTGCCCCCCCCAGGTGGGCTCAGGCCCCCGCCCTCTGGAGAAGGTGGGGCACTGCTCTCTCCAGGGCCACAAGGTATTGCAAAGAGCATCCAGCTAGGTGGGCATGAGACCTGATTGAGAAGCCAGGTGGGCGAGCACATGCCCAGCAGCTCAGAGGGGATGGCATGGGCACGCCCGGAGCCAGCGCCCCTTCCTCTGGATAGTATCTGAGGACATCTGCACACATTACCTAGTTTAGAGAGTTTAAGTAAAAAATTATTTTTATTACAAAAAAAGAATTACTTGATTTTTAAAAATCAGAACTTTTAAAAATAAAATTTTGTTTATGAAAAGGACAAAAATACTTTTTTTAAAGGAAAAACTTTAAATACTTACATGTGTAAATCCTTAATTTTTAAAGGGGGACGACCTGGACAGATAAATGATTAACTGTGGCCACCAAGTGGGGCAAGGCAATGAGTGGGGACTTCCGCTCTTGACAGGATACTGTTAATAGATTTTTTTTTCTTGTCAAGGAGGGTGTATTTTGTAATTTTAGAAAGTTAACAAGAAAACGAGCAGTTGTCTATAATCCCACAAACCATGGCCCCCACACGAACGCACATGTCCCCCTGTGCACACCAGCACTGCGATGGAAGCTTGGATGGGTGGGGGGTTTAAGTCTGATTTTAAATCTTCTCTTCTTAAGGTAACACATCAAACAAGCATGGCCTTTTGGTTTCCGTTATGGGGTAGACTTCTGTACAAGCCAAGGTCTTAACTTCCAGAACACCAAAGCCAGTGGAAGGATAAAGTTATAAACGTGTTTCTAGAACACTGTAAATAACAAACCTATAATATTTCAGTTAATTAAGCTTTTCTCTTGTCTTTTTAGCTTAAGACTAGAGCAGAATGCACCCTTCCCCAGCATCAAAGAACAGGGTCCTCTGGGGTCGGGGAGGTGGGTGCTCCTGCCCACTGGCCCCTCACATGTCCCCAGGCACACAAATCCCGACCTCGGGCTTTGCCCCTAAGAAACCCAGCCTGTGACTGAGTCTAGTAACATGGGCTCAGTCCCATGGAGAGGGGACATCAGAATCACCTGAGGGGGAAGCCCAGGAACCAGGAGTTTTGGAGTTCCTGTGAACAGAGCACATGGTGTGGTTGAAAACCAGTGCCCTAGAGCTCAGAGCACTCCAGCTTCTAACAAGTGTCCCACCTCGTCCCAAATATGACCCAGTGCATTGGAAGAGAGACGAAGGCCTGGGGGTTCCTAAAGGAACTTGGAGAAAGCAGTAAGGGGGCAGCTCCACTAAACAGCCCAAGGCCAGGTGGGCACGTTCCTTCTTGGCCACCTTCATCTAGAGGGGAGAACCCCCCCAGGGGGTCCTGGCTCACCCACCTGCACCTGCTGCCCAGTGGTCTTCTCTGCCACGCCGTGGCCCTCACCACTGCTGGGCCCATCCTCTCCCTCAGCGGAGTCCTCACTGCTGTCACTGCCGGAATCTTCCAGGCCTGAGAACACACTCTCCTCGCTGTCACTGTCGGAGAGGCCAGAATCGCTGCCATCCCCAAGGCTGGGAGCAGGGGCAAGGAGAGAGGGCTGAAAGAAGCACAGCGTCAGTGTCAGCCAGACCTGACAGCCCCGCCCCCCAGCCTTGGCTCACCAGGTCGCATGCTGACCCACAGCTCTGTGTGGCCAGCCTCCAAGGCCACAGCCCTCAGATCACAAGCCTCCATCTCCACCAAAACCAGGCACCCAACCCCCGCCTTCCTCACCGTCCACCTCCGCCGACAGGAAGGGACATCTAACTCCTAGCATCTCGCATGGGAAGAGCTCTCAAGGACAATGTCCCCTTTCTCGGGGCCCAATTCCCACCGCATTACCAACACCAGCTCTCCACCGTCCACAGCCCACCCTGGCATTGGAAGCCCCAGAGCTTAGAGGGCGCTGGGCGGGGGCTGGTGCCAGCAGAGGACCAGAACCCCTGAAGGGCTTTTCCCACCGGAAGTAGAAGCCTCCATATTCAACCTGCTTGAGACCCACAGTGGATGTAGCAGTCCAAAAGCAATAAAAATGATACAAGCTTGACTTAAAACCAGGTACCACCGGTTTGCCCCTCATGGGTAGGACCAGAGCTTTTCCTGAGTGGACAGCACCTCACCCCTAACTCTACAGGACACGAAGCACAGTGAGTGGGCCTATTGTTGCCTTTGAATTTGGAACAAGAACTCGCAGACTTTTAGGAAGGACAGGAGTGCAGAGTCCTAGGTTTCACTGTTTTTACATACTTGCAAGCCTCTCACCTACCTGGACAGCCTGCACTGAATAGTCATTCATGACACTCAACTCAGTTTTCACAGACGCGACTCTGACACACAGGCAACTCACGCTGCTTATCGCCCATATTTACTTAGCTACACAATTACAGCAGCAAGTAAAAATAGCATCAATGGTTTGGCACAAACAGGAACTGTTCTTGCTGAGTGCAGAGCCAAGGGGGGCACGCAGCCCAGAGCTGCCTGCTGGGATGGGGGCAGCAGGAGGACATGTCACAAAGTGAAGGGTAGCTTGATAATCCAGCTAAGTGGAGTCGGCTGAGGCGGTCCACTTGGGCATGCCTTCTACAACACAGATTTGGTGACACCCCCACAACAGAGCTGGGGGTTCCGCGGGACAGCATTAGCAACCATGGGTCCAGCTAAAACTACGTCCCATGCAGCGGGCACTGAGTTCTATTCACGAGTCCTTATTCTCCAATCCTCTTTTATTTTTACAACGTATGTAACATACGTAAGTATTTATTGTGAGTGCAAGCTAAAATCTTTTTAGCTGTAGGATCCATAAATCAAAAGGTCTGAGAGGCTGCTGCACAGGGTGCCAGCTCCCCTTGCTATTTCTCTCCTGCTCAGGCGGTTCCTCCAACCCACAGAACCGCCCCACACAATATTCCAGCCGCCCTTTGCGCAGGGGGTGCTCTCTGCCTAGGACACCCCCTCAGGGTCACCTCCAGCACAGGGCAGGCGACCCATTCTTCCTCTCATTCCTAGGCCCGCTGCACGCTGGGCCGGCTCGCCGCGGGCCCTTGGCCCGCACACGGAGCTCGGCCCCACGCCCTCGGCCACCACGTGCGACCCGCACAACGGCCCCAGGCCGCGCCGCCCCGCTCCCTCTGCCATCCCGCGCAGCCCGCTGTCACCTCCTCCGGCTCTGGCTCCGGAGGCCGCTTCCCCGACCGCGCTCCCGCCGCCGCCTCGCTCCCCGCGTTCCGCGCGCCCGCCATGCTTCTCCGCCACTTCCGGCAGCGACCTGGTCGCGTGGGCTGGAGGGCGGGATCCGTGGAGTCACAGGGCGCGGCCAGCCCGCCCCGCGCGGCCTGATTGGTGGGACGGGGGGTTGGGCCGGCACGCGCAGGCGCGCGGGGGCCGGGGCGGGGCCTGGGGCCCGGGGCCCAAGACCAGGACGGGGTCGGCGTGCGCGCGTACTGGGAACGCGGGCGGGCGGCGCCGGCGGGAGCGCGCGCGTCGCAAGATGGCGGCGGCCATGATAGGCCTCGGGGCTGTGTGTGCGCAGCGGGCGGCGGCGGCGCGGCCCGGGCTGCAGACTCTGCGGCAACGCTAGCCCGGCCCTCGCCCTCTCTTCGCTGTCATTACCTCCGCCTCTCCCTGCCTTGCCCGTTATGGATCTACCCGTGGGCCCCGGCGCGGCGGGGCCCAGCAACGTCCCGGCCTTCCTGACCAAGCTGTGGACCCTCGTGAGCGACCCGGACACCGACGCGCTTATCTGCTGGAGCCCGGTGAGCGGTGGGACGAGCCCCGGGGTAGGGGGCAGGGCCGGTTCCCCACCTCGCCCGCCCGAGTGTGGGGGCAGGGAGCCCAGCGGGAGGAGGCCCGCTCCTCGCCGGTTTCTGCCAAGTTTCCCTGGGGTGGGGAGGAAGAGCCTCTCCTTCTTTGGGCTTTTGCTAACTGTGGGAAAACTGCGGAGGTGTGTCTGTCCTTTGAACAGCACAGGGTTTCTCTAGCGAACGTTGTGTCCAGGTGCCTTTCTGTACCTTCTCAGATCATTACCAGGGTGGTGTGGTCGGGAGCTCCTCGGAAAAAATCAGGACTGGGCGCATGAATCGAGGGCGTTGCTCGAGTGCAGAAGGAAAGGGAGCGAACAGAAAGTAAAACGTCCTAAAGTTCAGGTTGATTTCGAACCTGTGTCCAGATCCCAGAGCTGGGGGTTCCCGAGAGCAGCTTTGTTTTTCATTCCTCACAGGGCGCCTCTATTCACGTCCCTGTGTCGAGTTGCCTGGCAGCAGGCTTGTTTACATCGCCTGACTCGGCGAGACCGGTCAGCTCTGGTTTGCAGAAGTAAATCAGAGACTGTGTCTGGACTTGGAGATGAGAGTTCCGTTTACCTCCTGGCTGTGATGTGGTGTCGGGGCAAGGCCAGAGCCATAGTCCAGGAGAAAGGGTGGCCTGTAGAAAGGCCGTCCTGGTGGTGCACAGCCTCTGGGCACCTCCACATATGCCTGATCTCCTGAGGGCCAAAACTTGTGTGCCCAGCAGGCAGGGCGGGGTTCCTCAGACTTACTAAGGCCGTCCTTTCCATACTGTTAAGCCATTAGGAACAAGGAAAACCCTTGATGGAAGCTACTAGCCCTTAGCTGAAGGCCAGGTTCTCTCACTCTTGGGCTGTTTGCTGAAGCTCTGCCTGAAGAGTGCTGGGGAGTAAAGAGACTGGAAGTCATGCAGCATTTCTGTTGGAGACATTTTCTGTTGGTCCCAGTGACATCATTGTGTGTGTCCTCCATCCTCCAGTGCCTGTTTCTTCAATGGCCGCACGAGTCCCGAAGAGGGGCAGGGTGCTTTCTCACAGGCTGCCACATTACCACCATCCCTTGGTTCGAGACCTCGAACTTACCTGACCAAAAGAAGCCACTCTCCATTTCTTTTTATACCCTGCCATCCTCACTTTTTCCTTCTCCTTAACGCTCGGGGAACGCTTGGGAAGGGGCATCAGAGATCCTCTGGGACAGCGGTTCTCAACCTTCCTAATGCCGCAACCCCTTAATACAGCTCCTCATGTTGTGGTGACCCCCAACCATAAAATTATTTTCGTTGCTACTCTATAACTGTAATTTTGCTACTGTTATGAATCGTAATGTAAATATCTTTCTGTTTTCCAATGGTCTTAGGCGACCCCTGTGAAAGAGTCGTTCGACCCCAAAGGGGTCGCGACCCACAGGTTGAGAACCGCTGCTCTGGGATGTCCCAAGCTTAATTCAGCTAGGATGATCAGTCCTGCCCCTTGATCTTAAAGATTGTGAGACGTGTGTGTGTAGTACTGCCAGCATACTCCCCATGACCTGCAGCCATGTCCTGGGCAAAGCTTTTGATTTGAACAGGAAAGTCGGATACTGTCAGGCCTGTCACAGCTGCCCCTCAGTGTCGCCACACCGCCTGTGAACCCTGTTGCCCAGCTCTCCACAGGGGATGTCAGCTGGCGCTGAGTTTTACTCCTACCTGATCTGTTGGCAGGTCGGGCAGGGTGCTGTGGGTGTGGGGTACTGTGGGGAGCTCTAGCTCAAGAGCAGAAAGAAGCCCTTTACTGGGCTACACAGGTGGCTATGGAGCTGCTGGGCCAGAGGAGGTGATCCTGTGTCTGGCCTCAAGAATGCCCACACTGGCTCTGAGGCCTCTGTCAAGAGTCCACACTGGGTCTTCTTCAGACTCACAACCCCGAGTCTGGCTTTCAGTCTGTGGGAGGCTCCGACATCCATGCTCTTGGTGCTTTCCCCTTTGTGCTGGAAGTTTTCTCACCACTCGGTCAAGGGAAACCATCTGCCTTTGCCCTAGAGGACTAGGGGAAGTTAGAGGCTGACTCTGCAGGTTGAGTAACCAGCGGGGGAGGGGTGCACAAACTGGCCTGTGGGGCCAGGTGTGGACAGCATTGTCCTCTGCCCAGCGTGAGGGAAAGACCAACGGGTGGCTGCCCCAAATCCTGGTGCAATTACAGATGCACTCTGCGTGGGGCCTTTAGATTCGCAGCTGCTCCCCAGACAGATCCTGCAGGACACTGCAGCTGGCGCCCTAGGGAAGGTGTTTGGTGACCACGAGCATGGCCTTGGTTCTGCCACAGCTCTCCCAACCTGCAGCCTGTGCTGTTCCCCTCCTCCCGCTGGGGTGTTCCGTGAATCAGGCCTGTCTAGTCTGGGGGTCAGGACTGTGTAAGTAAAGAGCACTTCTCTTTTGGTCCATCTACACTTGGAAGCCCTGCTTAAATTTTGATGCCTGATGTCTCCCTGGCCTCACCCTACTCCCACACTGATACATGCAATTCTCTTCTCTTTGGAAGCAGGAACAACCCTAATGGGGTTGTGTGGGGGCCAGGGGAAACCCCAGAGTCCTAACAGCCAGAAGTCGCCAAGGCCAGGGCCCATACCAGGTGGCCCGTGAGTGCCAGTGGTCAGAGGGTCACTTGAGGGGCCGGGTCTCTGGTTGGAGAGTCTGGGGCAGAGCAGTTCCTGCAATTAGGTCACCAGCTCCCCATGAGACCACTCAAGGAATCGGCCTAGCCACACCTGGGCACCCCGAGCTTGCCATAGACTGTTGTCAGAGCTCCTCTGACAGGTGGGTGCCACAGTCTTCCCCGGCTAAGAGCCCGTGGGCCTGTAAGTCCCCTATGTTCATTCTCACCAAGCCAGTTGGGCAGGACCCAACAGGCCCTATTGGCCCCACCCTTGGAGAGCTGATGGTTGACTCAGAATGCTGAGGGAACATCCCAGATTTCCCCAGCAGCAGATCGAGGTGTGCTGCAGGACCTGGGGCTCCCAGCGCCTCCGTGAACCCCAGGAGATGGCCGCCAAATGGTAACACAGCTGTCCTTGTTCACTCCTGTGCTGCATAAGGCTAAGTTTTCTTGTGTATCAGTTCTGCTCCATCCACAATCATGCAAGCAGATGACAACTGGCCACTTTTTAGGTAAGAAAACAGTCTCAGAGACATCAAGAACCTTAACAAAATAAGAGCTAAAGAATGGTTAAACAAGATTGGAAGTCCATGTTCTCTGCTGGCATCCAGCCGTTGCTTGCTGCTGCCTTTCCCAGGCACTCCATGTCTGCTGAGGAGAGCAGGACGCCCCCTGCCGGCCCCACCCGCAACCTCAGTTAGCCCCCAGCTACACTCGCCTGCCCAGCACTGTGGGGGTCACAGTCAGTTTCAGCACTTGGCTTTGACAATGCACTGGATGTCCTGGTCAGGTGATAGGCAAATAAGTAAGTAAGAGACATTAAGGTTGGAAAGGAAGAAATAAAATGTCTCCATTCCTAGAAAACATCATCATTTACTTAGAAAATCCCAAAGGATCTACAAAGAAGTTATTAGAACTAAAAGGGAGTTTAGTTAGGTCATAGGATTCAAGGTCAATATATGAAAGTCAATTATATCTCTGCATAGTAGCAATGAACTATGGAAACTGGAAATATTTACAGTAGTATCAAGAAACATAAACTATTTAGCAGTTGTAGTCTCTCTTGCTGTGTTACCACTTATCACCAAGCGTAAATGCGTGAAACAACAAGCGAACATTATCTCCCAGTTCCTGAGAGTCACCAAGTGAATTTGGCTCAAGGTTTCTCATTGGTTGTAGTCATCTCAGGACCCAAGTGGGAGTGAGAGACTTCAGTTCCTCACCATGTGGGCCTCCCCTGAGGTCTGCTGACAACGTGTCGGCTTGCCTCCCCCAGAGCAAACGATTCAACACAGCCAGAGCCCAGAGTGGCTTCAACAGTGTGTCTTTGAGTGCCATCACATCTGCTGGATACTGCTGGTCTCAAAGAACAGCCTGGCACATCACAGGAGAAGGCCCAAGTGTGAATTCGTGGAGGTAGGGATCATTGGGGGCCGTCTAGTTACCCCAGGGGTAAACCTCAAAAGTACATACTAGTGGCCTGCCAAGTCGCTCAGTTGGTTAAGAGCGCGAGCTCTAAGCAACAGGGTCGCCCATTCGATTCCCACATGGGCCAGTGAGCTGCGCCCGAACCCGAGTGAGCTGCTGCTGAGCTGCCAACAGGTGGCAGGATGGCTCAGCTGGTGAGAGCACGGGCTCCTAACAAAAAGGTTGCCGGTTGACTCCCACATGGGATGGTGGGCTATGCCCACCCGCAACTAAGATTGAATACAGCACTGTGAGCCGAGTGGCCATGAGCTGCCGATAGGCGGCCAGGTGGTAACTAGACTTGGGAGCTGAGCTAGCTGCATCCTCCACAACTAAGATTGAAGGACAACAACTTGGCTGTTCCCCTTCCCCA